GGCCGGGGAGGGCAAATCCCCGGGTGGATTTTGGTCTAATATCTCTTTTTTTTTTTTTTTTTTCTCCCCCCTCCTAGTTTTATTAAAGCCGAAATGTGAGTGCTGAACTGTGAGTGCTGTTCCTGTGCCCCGTCCTCGTGACTGGGGGACCCAGGGGCTGGGGGGGCCCTGTTGGGGGAGGACTGGGGGGATGCGGTGCCAGAGGAGGTTCCCGGCTGCACAGCGCATCCTGCCCTGGCACACGGGTTATTACCAGCCTCCGCGCCGGGCATAGTTTTAACCTGAGCCATAATGAGGGGCCAGGGCGGGCAGGCGGTACACACCCAGCCCCGGGTTTCCGGGGTGCTCCGGCTCTCCAGGGCCGGGAGAGCACCCTTGGGTGCTGTCGGCACAGGTGCGAGCCCCCCCCACCCGGGGCAGGCCGGGGGGATGGCGGAGGGGGGTCCCGGGGAAGTGGAGGTAAGGCAGAGGGATGGCGATGGCGGGGGGAGCCAGGCCACTGGCACAGCCGGGTCGGGGGTTGCAGGGGGGGGGGGGGGTGGGGGCTGGCGGGTGTCCCCCGAGGGCCCCTCCGGCTCCCCGGCCCCCATCTCTCCCCGGTTTAGCCCGGGGGGGGGGCTGACACCGTGCTGTGGAGTGGAAGTGGGGCAGTGGGAAAGCCTGGCACCCCCATCTCCCACCCATCCCTCCCTGGGGCTGGGATGGGGTGATGGAGCCGAGCCTGGGGGGGGGAACCTGGGTAATGCCAAGCCCCCGTGGGGCGGGTGGGCACCCACGGCTTCCTGGGCTGCGGGTGGGCTGATGTGGGGTTTTTCCGCTCTGTTTCCCCCCAATTTGGGGCTGTCGGAGAGCCAGGGGTGGCAACAGCTGCACCATCCCATGGTGGGAGGGGGGCAGCAGACGGGGCAGACCCCCCCCCAGCCCCCTTGGCGGCGTGCTGGGCTCCCCACACAACTTTGGGGGAGATCACATCCTCGGGGGCCACCTTCACCCGTGGGTCTGGGGCTGCCTTGGGGGATGGGGACCCCCGGGGGGGGATGAAGGGGATGAGCCCCCCTCAGCCCGGGGGTCCCCCGGGACCGACGTGACTGGGGCTGTGCGGGGCGAGGGTGACCCACGGGGGGGGGGGCCCCCCGGCCCCCCGCAGCCCCCCCGTACCCCCATCCCGCCCGGGGGGGCGTGGCCTCATGGAGGGAGGCGGTGCCCGGCGGGGAGGCGTGGCTGTGAGGGGGCGTGGCTCC